AATTAATATACAAAAAAATATTATAATCACTTAATGTTATTAAAGGTAAAAAAACAAAACTGAAATTTATTAGATAATTATTAATTAAAAAATGTGACCACAAATTAAAAAATTAAAATGGATAAATTTGTCAATAAAATTAAAAAATTCCAATCCACTAACGGTTTGGTACAAAAAGTTACATAAACTAACTTTTTCAATCTGCTAACGATTTGGACCCAAACCGCTATCCGCTAGTCTCTAACCGCTAAATAAAAATTTTACTAAACACTTTAGTTGTAGCGGTTTCGAAATATATAAATTTACCAAACATCTATATTTAACGGTTTAGGTAAAACCGCTAACCGCTACCCCAAAACCGCTAATCGACTAAACTGTTATATATTTTATTTGAAAAAAGAAAAAAGAAAAAAGGAAAAGAAAACACAATCCTAGAAGATAAACTTCTTGGTAGGCTGCTTGCCGGATCAGCAAGGAGCATTATGGACATCGATGGCACAATAGATAACGATGGCCTCCAGCATAGTAATTTCAAAGACATAATTACCGTCAATGTGACTCTGCTTGTCAAAGTTTATTTATTTTCTCTAACTTTTATTTTTATTTTTATTTTTATTGTAGTGAGGAATATCTTTTAATTTTTGAATTTTGTACATCTAATTTGATATTGTTTAATTTTATTATTATCTATATATTAAAATAATTGTTATTATTTAATTTTAAATTTATCTCTAATTATGTAATACCCAAAATTTCTGGAATTTTTAATATTAAGTCAAGGACTTTTATGAGAGGAAATATTGTTTTGGGCTTAATAGCCAACATTCCCAAACTTGAGGGACTTAAAAGAGGATGAATTTTAGGATAAGGATCAACTATTTTACCTTCTTTCTTCCCCAGCCAGTTCGCGTGTTTCTCTTCTTTTTCTTCCCCCTGCAGCTCCCGAAGGCCCCCAGCCAAGCCGACAGCCTCCCATGAAGAAAAACCGGTAGGAAGCCTTAAATTCCTCCTTCTTTCTTGTCCAAGAACAAGATTTAGGAGCTTGAAATCTTCCCCTCTGCTGCAGAAAATTTCCAGATCTGCTCTGCTTTGTCTTCACCACCGGCTGCTCTGTGGGTGGGTGATTTCTGGGCATTTTTTTGGTAAGAAACAGCCATTAATTCTTTTTTTCTTCCTTGAATTGGCTTGGGTTACCTTAATTTCCTCTTGGTTCTCCCAATTTTTGCTAGATTGCGTGAATTTCCCCCTGCACTTCCCACCGGCTCTTCCCCAACTGCAGCTCCGGTTTTGCTTGTTAAATTCCGATATGTGACAGCCCTCCAACCCCTAATTTATCCGTTAATTTGCTGCCTTGAATCTTGAATTTTCTGCCTTTGATTTGCCCTTGTACTGTTCGGGAATTTCTGTTGAAATTGGGGATGAATTTTGGCAGCATTAAGTTATGTTTTAAGCTTGGTTTAGGTAGAGAAATTAGCTTAATGGACTGCTGTGTGATTTTTGGAGAAAATCCCGTGAATTAGTTAGTGTTTTGGCCCATTTTTGGAAGTGCACTTACTGTTTATGACACTGTTTACGGGTACTGTTTGCGGGTACTGTTGACGCATTGATGATCAACAATTAACGGAGATTTAAATGTTTAGTTTGTAATATAAGAACGAATTTGGAGATGTCCGATCACATGGAAATTGATAGAAATAGCATCATGATTAGGATAGTCCTAATGAAGTTTCACTTTGAATTTGTAATGGTACGGTAATTAATTCTTGGATATTTTTATTAGGTTTTTGATTGTTTTGTCACTTTGAATCTTCGGTTTATGCGAGTGAATTTCTATATTATGTAATTTGAGGTAAGTAAATTATGGTAACGCCCTTTGATTTTTAAAAGTATGTTTTGATTTGTTATTGAAGTGGTGGCGGGACTAAACTCATTTTATGTAAAAGTAAGTATGATTGATTTGAAGTGCAATTTTTATGCTTTTCATTAAAGTGAGCATGCTTACTTGAAATTTAATTGATTGTCCTGATGATTTGAAAGTGATTGGTGAATTATGATTTTTCTGTTAACTTCAGCCTGTTTTGTCTCCGATGTGGTCATGTTATTAGTGACCCTGCTAGTGGGGGTTAAACGCTACCACATGTCGACATGTTAGTGATAGAGCCGATTCGTTCGAGTGACCCTGCTAGTGGGGATTATACACTAATAAATCGTGTGCCTGCGAGTGGGAGGTTTATAACACTGGCCATGGCTTATAGAGGAGACGTCTATTTCGTTTCCGTACTTGTACCTGTTTTTTGTGATTATATTGGTTGGTATGCTATAAGTTTAATAAAGGACACTCCATATTTTACTTACTGAGTTTATCTCATAGTTTTTCTTGTCCACTATTTCAGGAAACGAAATCGAGGACGGGGAAACCACTGGAAGTGACGAGTTAGAAGGCTAGCCATTTCGAGATTGATATAGATTTTAGAAATAAATCATGATCTTATAAACTAGACTGGATTTGGAGATTTTATGATATCACAGCAGATTTTAAGATTTTATCTTCAGATTTTGTGGTATCAGATGTGAATTGGATAAGTTCCGAACCTTGTGCATTTGTGGGACCTTCTCACAAGTGTACGGCGTCTGTTGCGCCTCGGATTTAGGTTCTGGGGCGTGACAAATTAATTATTAATTTTTTATTTTTTAAAACAAATAAATATTTTTTTATTTTAACCTTA